ACATGTTTGGGTTTTGTTTTTTGGGGGGGGGGTTTGTTTTGTTGGGATTTTTTGGTTGGGTGTTTTTTTGTTTGTTTGTTTGGTTGGTTTTGTTTTTCTTTTTTTTTTTTTTTTTAGTTAATCGCAGTTAGTTACAATCATACTAACCAAAGCAGACTTCAGCTTTGAAGAAGCATTAACCATCTTCTGCTTGAGTCAATGTACTGCCATATGGTAACAAAGAACAAACCTTATTTCAGGGTTTCCCGTGCTTATAATAGAGGAAGCAGAGAAGCTATAACAAACTGTTTGGTGATCCTTTTTTTTTAAATTCTTCAAATTGACTTCTAAAATGACTAGTATTTCTTGTCAGTGGTTTTCTTTTGTGAGAGAAGTCTTTCTTTGCAAGATATCATTTGTCCTAATGTGTTTTTTTATTAAGACGACTAATTTCTCTAAGAAACTTTCACACAGTATTTGTAGAAACCTTCACACCAGATAGCAGAAGACTCTCCTGCCTCACTCTGGTTTGTCTCTAGCAAAAAGATAGAGATCGTGGAGAAAGAGACCTCAGTCCTTCCCATATACATACATTAGACACATCCACCAAATACACAGCCTAATATGATCAAGTATAACTGCCCAGTGCATAGCTTAGTTTAGATGGAAGGAAAACAAAGTTCATCTTTTTGGAAAGAGTTGTGACCTCTGAAAGTGTAAGTGAACCAAAGTGTATTGGTAGTCTGAAACACATCATTAGTCATGCTTCTCCAGAATCACAAATACCAAGTTTCACTCTAGTCTACTTCTGCTGAAAACAGCTCTAGTAACAGTCTCCAGTAAAATGAAGAACCAAGAAATAATACACCTGCAACAGAGCAAAATATTTACCTTTTAAAAAACCTAACAAAGACTCATTTAAAGGAGCACAAGAAATAGGGAGAAGTGCTCCAGTTCCAGTATCAGTAAGGCTACCATCTTACAACCATAAATTCTGTATCTTGCTAAGAAAAAAAAAAAAAACACCAAACTAAGATGCCAAAGTTTATTCGCTATGACATCAGTAAAATATTTTGCAATCTGATCAAAAAGTGCATTTGGTAGAACACTGATAATGCAGGGTAAATGAAGCAGGGTTAACACTCAGCAGTCTGGTGAAAGATGGGAGGCACAATTAATCTCAATAGATTTGTATACAATTGTAGTGGAAAAAAATGTGGATATTGAAGTTATGTATTTTGCGCCTAAAAATTCTGTTAACAAAAAGTACATAAATATTTTTCCACTAATAGTCACAGAATTAGATTTCTGAAAACTAGTATTTTAAGCTAAATTTTAAATTAGAAGTGTTATAATGTTGAAAATTAACTTAAGCTATTCACTTACATATAAGTTAGAGATTAACCACTAAATAAAATACCTAAAACAACTATAAGCATCTTGATAACAGATCTTATCCTGGTTTAAATTTAGTTCCTTCAAATTTTATCAGTTCTGTAAAAGTTTAATTTGAAGAACACATATATAAAGAAGCATATGTGTCACATTGGCTGTTTCTTGCTACCCTCTATGCGATAAGGAAAAATTAAAATACTAGACCCACTACCTAATAATGAGACATATTAATTGCGGAACACTTTAGTTTCTTAGATATATGGTCCTCTGGAAGCTTGATAAGCGTAAATTATAACAACGAAGTTAAGCCTGCATACCAATTCCCCAAATGGTAACAGTAAACCTTCAGGCTAGCCCCATGCTTTGTTGTGTAAACTAATCTTTCACTTGCTGTATTTAAAAAGCAGTTAGCCTCTCATAAAACAAATTTTACTGATTATAATGCTTATATTCACGATAACGAATTGCAAAAGTCTGAAAAAGGCATAGAAATTAATCCTTCTTTTCATTACCAATCTCAATAACTTAACTCTCCACTCTTTGAAAAATAAAGCCTGCCTTCATGCATAAGCAATTCATTAGTGATACCACAGAATGCTATACTTTACCTTCAAAAGAAGGTTCAAAATAATCAAAGAGGTCACACTACTTTTTAAATTCACAAAAGTTTAAGGAAATTGGTTTGCTTCATCCAGCACATTACTATCTTGACTTCTTGAAGGAGAGGTGTCTTGCAACTCAAAACTACTTATATCAAATACCTAACCTTTCAAGCCATTCTCAAACACCTTTCAAGACCGACTGCACTTTACTGGGAACTCTTTAATCTGATCTTTTAATCTAAGATCCTTTTAAACAATTTCCAAATGGGAAAACAGAAAGAGAAAGGGCAAGAGGAAGGAGACCATCTAGGAAGTAATGAAAAAGAGTAAAGAACAAATTAGTACAGTCTTTACAAGCGAATAAGCAGTTTCCAGTTCATGCAGAGAAGGAAATAATTCAATGTTGCATAACTGACATTTTTGGAAACTAAGGCAAACAAAAATCAAGTCACAGAGAGATGCTGAATGAATTGACGGGAGATAGAAGTTGCTCTCATTAATAAAGCTAGACAAACTAGACAGACAGTGCCACACTACAGCATTTTTATTCTAGACAGACATAAGTGGAAGAAGGAATGTGAGCTATCTCTAGAGGTCTTCCCTTTTAAACTCAGTTTGCTAATAGTATTTGAACTTTAAACATGAACTGATGCTACAAAGTAAAATTAAACAAGATTAAGCACATTAGTGTATCTCTTAACATAGGCCTAGAGAGTCTGAGGTAATTGAAAACAAAACCCTGAACAATTATTATTAATAAGCCAACCATTTAGAACCTGGATCATTACTACAAGCATGAAAATATATTCTAAAATACATATACACACATATCAATATTAAGTCCACTTGAATTTAATATGGCCACAGTGAAGAATCACCAACACATTTTAATAATCTTCTACAAATAAATCTCAGAGATGACATCAGCAGTACTACTACGATGACTAACAGCAGTGAAAAACATTCCACTGTCACTTTAAAATAAAATTATCTGCCAGATTCTCATATCTTGAATCAAAACAGGTAATTCAGCATAAAACTGATCTCAAAGATGGGCAATGACTCAATGTCATGGAAAAAATAGAACACTTCAATTTCATACCTTAGACTCAACTATCCTTTGAACAATTATCTGTGGCACTTCTAGAACTTGTCTTCTTGGGGGCAACTAGGAATCCAGATGAAGTACCTAGCTAATCATCTAACTTAATAGCACAATTCAGTTAGTATCAGTACAACAAAGGGGTATTTGACAACAGTCCAGGGCTCAAACTTCAAAACAAAACTGAAGACATAATGTAGCTTTATAAGTGACTTCAATGAGAAAGCATGACCACTCTACATTAAAAAGCAATCCAATTAACCTAGCTTGAAAAGACCCTTCTGTACAACACTTGAACTTCAAAGACACAGACGAAATGGCTGCAGTTTTGTACACTGTTCTTTTTACATGGCAACTGTTTAGTCTCAAATTTAAGTGATCTGAACTCAAAATGCCCATACCCTTTGAGAAAAAAAGAAAAGAACAATACATTAATAGAAAGGAATGCTACTGGCATCTCCCTGAAAAAGTTGTTTCTGCCCCCAAAGGGTATTTAAAATATATTACAAAGGAATAAAGTATCTTTTGATTGTCACCTCTACCTGAGAAAGAATACAAGGTTTCTTAAGTGCTACAATTGTCAAAAGAATAATATGATATAAAATTTGAAAGTTCTAACTGGAATTTATCAAGTTCAATATATATTTTTCTAACCTAAAAAAATAAAAATAAAATATTAAGAAATGTAATAACTCTGGAAGATACAATTTCTAATCCAACTTTGATTCCACATTACTATTCTGTTCTCAAAAGATAAATGACTAGCTTTGAAACTGTTGTTATTGAGAGAACTGCTGTAGTTCAAGTTATATATACAGGCAAAGTTTTTAAAATATTTGTTAATGGGAAGCACAATTTTTAAACTTTTCTTGATACACTGTGATAATTATAATCTATTAGGTTTTCTTACATGACACGTGACAGTAGTTCCTAAAGCAGTAAAATTTAGAGAGCGTTAATTTGGAACTGAGTTTCAAAGCATTTAAAGAAGATACAGAATTATCACACTGGTGAGACTACAGCACTGTTTTTTTCAGCCCCGACTTCTCTTTCTTTCTTCAGGCATTGATACATTTTTTCCAAAACAAAACTTCACGAGACAAATATGTAACTTAGACTATCACAATCAAAAAAGCAGCAGACAAAACAATATTTTTCACCCCCAGGTAACACTTTACACAAAGCTAAATTATTTCTATTTTGTACTGAAAGCTCAAAACCTCAAATGGACTTTGCAGCTGGCACTTTCCATCTTTCTACATAAAATCTGTATTTCCTTATGTATTCTCCCAACCATCTCACCCCTAAATATATTTAAAGAGCAAGACACCAAAAAGGAAAATTAAGAGTAGACCAGGAAAGAGAGCTCTTTCAGGATGAAATAAAGTATAAGGAGGAAAAAATGTTGGTTTCTACTTTTTCCACTGATAAGTGTGAAATACTGCCCTGGGAAACATTCTTCTAGTCAACTATTGTTCGAACAAAAGTAGAAAAGTTTAAGCAAAAATCATTATTTAACACTTCCATTTGAATTTTGCTTAAGGAACAAAAACCATGACTTGTGCAACACTGAATTCAGTCAAGATTGTTTTAGTTGCTAGTACAACAAAAGTAACACATCCAAAGTCTAAGCATCAGTTGCTTGCACTGATGTAAGTGTATATTCCCTCAAAATAAAAGTTAGATCCACTGGTTTAGGTTTTCACTAAGAAACATGTAGCAGTAATTCCACATAAAAAAAAGATCCATAGTTTCTTGCACCTGTTTTAATTTCACTTTAGCAATTATGAAGTAGGCAATAATAGAAACATTACTAGAAAGCAAACTTAATACGAAAACAGGTATCATGTCATGCACTAAAGGAAATTAGTATTATATAATGCAAAATGACTGATTATGTCATGCAAAGAAGAAGAAAATACCTGTACCGAGCCACCATGTCTGTCAGCTGCTAGGTGAGCCCTCAAATGATGTGGATTGGCTTGCTGTGAGTTCCAGGCTGCCCTATGGTCTGTTGACTACAGTTTTTTAATGCATTAGGAATATATGCAAAAGAAGAAATAAAGATTTCAAAACTAAGTAATTCATGCATTGATTGCATATTATTTTTTAAGAGCACAGAAGCACTACATACTCAACTCCTATACAGATTGTACATCATCTGCTTGCTTACATATGCCTACACATACATTTCCATAGAGAAAAAAAAGTATCAGCAGAGAGAAAATTCACTCCTAATGTAAGCTATATTGTATTACAGCATCAAACAAGCAACCTTTTAGGACATTAAGGTCTACAGATGTGGAAATATATTAACAAGGATCTCAAAGGAAAAGACTAAGAAAACCTGGAGTCAATTTTATTTTGGAGTTCTAATAAAAGCAACAACACAGCACAAATCATTAGACAAAAGACAAAGTAATCCTGATAATCTTACATGAGCAGTTTACCTGGTTTTTAGATTGTTGCATTTTATCTCTGTGCTGATGTGCTTCTCTGTTTGAAGACAGTGCAGGATCTGAATGTATTGAACCCACCGGAGTAGGCTACAAATATAAATAATATGTAGCAACTGGTAAAAAAAATAAATTTCCAAGTCCTACCAAAAGTTACTTATATGTAATAGAAATTAATCTTTACATCTGACAGTTTCCCATAACCTAAAATTATTAAATTAAAGCAAAAGCTTCACTAGATATTTATGAATACCAACAAGAAAAAAACAGGCAAACCAAGACTCATTATTTCATGAAGTAGCAATTCTGAGTATTATCAGACACTCATTTTCTGAAAGACTGTAGGCATTCTGAAAGACTTTAGATATTTTCTGCAGCTAGTACTTAAGACATTCTGATAAAATCCTGAAGAATGGCTTAAAGTTTAACACTAAACACTGAAAGATTGAGCAATAAAATACTACGATTCTTTCAGAGAGTTACACAAGAAACTTCAAGGTAAAATGCGTAATCGAAAATTGTCCAACTTAGACACAATCACTTTCCTGCTTATTAAAAAGAAGCAAGGAAAAATTTGAGGTATTGAAAAAACCATCTTTTATCCTTTCTTTAAAGAATATAAACACAATCTTAACAGTGACTTTAGATGCACTGTGATGGAAACTGATATTCTACATCATATTTCATCAGAACAGTGCATACAAACAGATTCTTCACAATGAACCGATAAATATCTGGAGTATATCTCAGATGCACAAAAGTGATTGTTCTACATTTTAAAAATACTGGGAGCAAGAAAGTCCCCAAAGCAAGAAAATACATGCAATAATGACAGTCACCTGCAAAGTTTTAAACCCCTTTTTCAAAAAAGAAAACCAGCCTGAATTCCTACAAACTTGTTTTGGACTGAACAGAGATTTAATTTGGTATTTAGAGTGCATGTTCTAAAGATAATCAACATGAAACATCTCAAGCCAAAGGATAATGTTTGAAAATGCATCTGAAAATAGGTTTGTAAAAGCAGCTGTTCACAACTCTAATAGCAGCCATGAGATGCATATGTGTTCTGAAACTGAAGACTAACACTGGCTCAAAACCGTTTACCAAAAAACCCAGTATATTACTAATAGCTTAATTGTACTCACCAACTGTTTGCCAATCCAGTCATATTCATAATCAAACATATAGCCTTTCCGATCAAGTAAGTCTATGAAGAGTTTTTTTAAGTAGTCATAGTCCGGCTTTTCAAAAAAATCTAGCCTTCTTACGTAACGTAGATATGTAGCCATTTCCTCTATATAAATAAGAAATTTACGTAATTGCCATACCTGTTTTAATGGCACTCAAAACCCAGTATTCATTACATTTTAAAGCAACCTCTACCTCTCACCATAAAACCTGAACATTTGTTAACCATGAGTCTGTGAATTACAAGAAAAGTTACTTAACAGTAATAGTATTCTGCATTATATACTGCCATATTCTAAATATATCCTACCAAGTGACTCTCCTGCAAATTTTCCTTCTGTATTATCTGTTGAGATCTTCCATTCAACCTTCCAATCCTGATGCACAATGTGCCAAAGAAGTGGGGAAAAAATACCTCTACTTTTTTTCAAATTCTTTGGTTTTTACGTATTCATTGCACAAAGACATGCCTAAGGGAATGTAAAGAAGGGGTACTATGATGCACAGGATGGACTATGTCTCAAAGAACACCTGTTACTGTAATGTAACCTTCATTAAGAGAGGATCCACACATGTTTCTAAAGTGGGCAACTCCAATTGTCCTGATAAAACACACTTGGTGCAGACCCTGTTGAGGTGTAACTGTAGCATGACTATGGAATGCTGCAACCGCACTGAATGCTTCAGGCATCATATTAAGTGAAGGTGTCAAGCAGAAGTGGCAAATATCCTCAACAGAAACACTACAGAAACGTACTAAGGTTACTTGAGCTCTTATAGAATGACTTCTGACCAGTGTCAGTTTAATATTGCTGTTTAAATACCATGTCAGCATATAAATGGAGAGTCATTTGGGTAGGTGTTACATGGAAACTGTAAGATTCTCCCAGTAGTGGAGACAATGAGGGAGTTTTCTGAAAGGGTCTAAACCTGTAAAGATGAAGAGAATTCCTAGTCATTAAATGTCATGAAGTACAGACTGCACACTAGCCGCCAGAACCTTCTAGTCAAGACAAGAGTTCCAACACAAACCTCTTGGCAGGTGAATAAAGCACACACAAGTCCCATTCTTGATAATGGATTTAAGCCATGAAAGGCTTCTGAGACAATAGCTGTAAGGAACAAGCATCCTTATGGACAGAAGACTACAAGAATCCAAGGACTAAAAAGGAGGACCCATGAACATCTGAAGCACAAGCGTCAGACCCCATTGAGAAACTGTTCAGACATGTAACTACATTTGCAGTAACTCCTTCAGGAATCAGTGAAATAAAGGGCATGTGTAAATACAAAAGTGAGAAAAAAAATCAGATGGTGAAGAGAGAGAAATGTTAACAAGCTTTCACAAAAGACCAAGTCCTACAGGTCCTTTGACTCCAGCAGGTATTCTAAGAAAGAAATAAAGCACTGGAAGAGTAAGAGGGCAACAACCTAACCATATTGAAATTTTGGTTCATTCAGACTGCATCTGTCCATATCTTCCTGTTATAAAAAGAAAAAAAGAGGAAAAAAAAAATCCCACTGCAAGAACTTCTCACAATCTGATATAGAACAGACAAAGTCCTTGATCTGAGTCGTAGGACATGAGTTTCAGATGGACAGAGCTCTTAATCTAACATGTTTAGTAGCCTTTGTAGCTCATGAAAAAGTGGGAAATCACCCACTGGCAAGCCATTCATGGAAAATCAATGACTCCTCACTCTCAAGCCAAAAATGTTGTCCAGAAGGTCCCAAAGTACAAGAGAAGGCACCTCTATATGACCAGACAAATAAGGTTGAAAATAGATGCCACCAGCATTCACTGATCCTATGAAGATGTATTTATGTCAGAAGCAGCAGAACAGTACCACTGCACACTCACTCTGATCCACACATATCACATTCCAGTAAGTCTAAAGAAGCTGACATTCTATAGTACAAACAAGGTGCTGTAAGAAGCCTATCTTCTGCTGGAAGATGGCTGAGAAGTATAGACGCAGTGGTACGACTGGCCTATGCTAAATCAAATTCTTTCAGATAGTGGGGTAGAAAGAGAAAAAAGTGAATGTTTGAGACCAGTCTAACAAAAAGTTTTAAGGCAGTATCATGTTGATGCTGTCAAGAATGCACCACAGGAGGAATTCCTTGGCACCTAAGGTCCAGCTCAATACACATGCAAGACTTCAGCAATACAAGATCAGTGTCTGAAGAAGACAAAACGTTGACACGCTGCTAGGGAACTCTTTAACCACACCCTCCAAATGTAAACTAGAAACCAAAGCAAGGTATGTCTTCAGAGGTACGAAGGCTGGAACTGAGCCATTTAATGCAGCTGAATCTGCTACAACTGGTTCACTCCAAAACCCAAACACCACCCTTATCACGCATTTCAAGGGGAAACTCCAGAGTTTAAACTCTTGTTCATATTTTATACAAGGCTTGCAACCGCAGTAGTTTTGCACACTCAAAACCAGTACAATTCCACAGAACAGATGATGAGAGAAATAAGTGCTGCACATGTGAGGAAGACCAAAGTACATTTCACTGATCCTGGAGTTCTCTTGCCTTATGGATCATCAATCAGCTAGCTTACTGTGCAGGCAGACTGAAAAGAACTGACATAATGGTGGATGTACTTCTCATTCTACTCTATGTCTAAAGTAACAAGGACAGGAAAAGGTTGAAAATCCTTGGATATCTGACATGCAAAAATTTCCTGTGCTGCGTTTGTGTCATGGCGATTTTGGATTCTAAAACTATACAAAAATTAGCATGCAACATATGCATGCATTAGTGGATGCAGAAGATTTATATTCCAGAACACACTTTTTCCCCACATACAAATTTTTGTCAATTCACTGAACACAAGTTCAGACGATTGTTCCAAGATCTCTAACGAAAGTCTATTTCACTTGATCTTATTATTTTTTTAATACACAGAAGAAAGAGAAATTAAAAACTTAAGACAAATTGATAATGGACTCATTTTTACCAGAGGCTTGGAAAGAAGAGGCCATCTAGTGTACTACTCTATCTCATAGCAAACCAGTTAGCTTTTCCTGTCTGGTTTGTTTCCACACAACTCCAGTGAAAGAAGCTCCATCGTATCACTGGCAATGGCAATCTCTTCATACTCTTCACTGTATTTGGAACACAGGAGTTAAAGTCTAAACTTCACTGCTTTGGATTACATCCATTACTTTGTCCTAGCTGCTATGGATGTCGCAAATGGTTTCCTTTCATTTTTGTAGCAGCCAAAAGGTACAAAAGATCTTCTTTCCTTCACAGTCTTGGCTGAATCAACCTTCATTCCTTCAGTCTTTGGTGATAGGTCTAGCAAACATATCATCCAAGCACTCCCACTTCTTTAAGAGACCCTTAAAACAGGATACATTACCTTGAAGTATAGCCCCCAAAATTGAACACATGGTTTCATCTGAAGCTTTAGAAAATTGATTGTAAATGGAAATTCATCCATCTTTCAGACTACACCCTGTTTATATAATCCAATTTAGTATATGGGGGGTTCGTTTGTTTGTTTTTAAAAAAATATAGCAGCATGACACTGTTCACTTGCATTTACTTTGTGACTGACTTTGAGTCATTACCCAAGGAACCTTTTCAGACCCAATAACTCTTAATTTGGATCTGATTCTATCTTCATATACTGTCTTGAATATGACTTACTGAACTGTACTTTGTGTTTTTAAGACTATATTTGTAATCTTTCAAGATCCTTTCATTCTAACCACCGTTGAGCCTACAGATTTCAAACGTAATTCTCAAGTTTAATAAATATCCTCAATTTTACAAGGCACTCAAAAATACTGAACAGATCCGGCACAAATCTCTGTGAAATACTCTTTCATGTTTCAAGTTTGGCAACATGTACTTAACTACTTCAAATCATTTTACTCTCTTCTTCACATAGTAGATTGCTTGTGATAAAGCTTTTAACATTACTTGAAAGGATATTTTAAAAGAGCATTGAAAGTAAAAGTACTAAGATTTCATGACATAAAAGATCTGCCTCCTTTCCACAGGATTTCATTTCATAAGAGGAAATCAAAACAGTTTGTCATGAGGTATTCTCAGATTTGCTTATCAATGATACTGTGATTACTTGTCAAGGTATTTATTTTCATTCTGACAAAATTGTGCCCATGTCACATATGTTTCCCCTGTCCTGAGCTGATTAGTCAAACTTTTAAAAAAATGTCATATTTGCTTCTCTACAATTTTCCACTACCTCATTGACTCTCCATGCACTTAAGGAGAAGTAGAAGTGACACCTGAAACTAGCTGCAAGTTACTTTAAATATTATTTCAAGCTGTTGCTAATATAATTTGTTTAAGAAGAGATATGGTATCAGTTATGAGCTGAAAAGGCTTGCAAAATTGTGTGTGAAGATACAAGTGTAGACTACCTGAGCACTGTAAGAGTATGTATCATAGTATTTTTTTTACTGTTTCCTTTAGAATAATCTATCTTTGAACACCACCAGCATTAGCTTATGGCTGCTTCAAAGGATAATTCTTGTATCTATTACCATAGTAATTACCATAGTACATAATACACATATTTGGAAGCATTATTTCATTTATGTTTTAAAACCAAAATTAAACAACTATCTATACCAGTTTAAATTTCTAAATCAATACACAACATTTTTTAATTAGCACTAGATATTACCTGGGAAGTTTTCACACAATACTTCTATAGGGGTTGCTCGTTTTGTGTCTCCAATTTTCTGGTAACGTTCTTTTAATGTATCAGCCTATGATACAAGAACAAAACAAGCTTTTTAAGTTATGCGACTTGTAGACAAGCTTTCAGAAAGAGAAAGATCATGGCAAGAAAAGCTGATGATCTAGAGATAGGATAGAGGAAGATATAAAAAAACACTACCTTTAAACCTTGCCATGGAAGGCTTCCTCTGAGAAAATACATAAACATATGACCTAAAGCTTCCAAATCATCTCTTCTACTTTGCTCTGAAACAAAATTCAAATATCATTAGAATATTCAACCTGTGTAATTTTTCATTATATTTAAAAGGTTTTCTTCCAAAGCATGTAAAAATAGTTGGGAGGTATAAAGTACTTGAGATCAAACTGAGCATGTGGGGGGCTTCTTGTGTACTATGGACTCCACTAAGAACATAGCTAAAACAAAACAAAACAAAACAGCATGATGCAGACTACAGGCATACTCACCTTAACAGTACTTTAAACCAATTATCTCACTATAAGAAATTGCTCTTTCTTAAAAATACATTTTGACTCCTTACATATATAATAGCATTTTAATTCTGGTATTTTTTGATCCATTAGTTGTGAGCTTGAAATAATTTAGGAAAGCTTTAATTGAACTCATTTTTCCTGTATAAAATAATGGAAAAGATGGTAGGTTTCTCAGGGACCTTCTGTAGAATTTCTGAATAAGCAAAAGATGGACTGGAAAAGGTTCAGAAATCTTATTTGATCAAAAAGCAGTATGGAAAGGAATGTACGTACATCTTGCTGATTTAAAAGCTAAGTTACAGAAGACAATGTCTGGCATAGCTACAATTTTTCATCTACAGTAGAGCAGGGGCAGTTCTACAAAAATTTCACGTGACATTAAAGGGAAGTAACAAGCAGAATACAGTGCACTCAGTAGTTCAAATTTCTCAGAGTATACTCCATATTTTTAAATGAAATTCATTTTCCTTAGGAAAACAATGTAATAGAAAATAGTAAAAGTCTTTAAATGATTAGTAGAAAACAGATGTTTACATTTTCACCTGACTTCATTCTGTACCGCTGTTGAAAAAACTGTTACACTGTATTATATTTTGTAGTAACATGACATTTTTACCTCTAACTTTGTTTTCTTCCCTGACACAATGCAGAAAACCAAAATATTAATATTGGTTTTACTCAGTATTTTCAAAGACAAAAATCACTATGCTTTGACAACAAAAGAAATGGAGCAGAAAAGCAAATGAAAAAATGTTTGTTACATTTTGAACACAGAAAAGTGAAAGCAAATCTGGCTTTGATCTGATTGACAGAAAATATGGCCACAATGCATGGTATCCAAAAAACAATTCTTACTTTTCGTATAAAAAGAACAATTTATTTCTTACTATTTTGTAACCATATTGTCTCATTTGAAGACTGAGTAAACACATAGTAGCAAATGAGTAAGAGAATACCAAAAAAATGTATGATAATTCAGAGTATGGGCTACATTTGCCATTTCTGACTCTTTCACAGTTACTACTCCTTCACTCATGTCTGTATTTCTAATTCTCTTGGCAACACTCTTATTGTTTGTGTCCACAGTGCCACTGTGTCCACTCTTTCTGTCCATTGCTGTCACTTTCCTCAGCGAACACCCTCCAGATAATCCAGTCATATCTGAATTTCTCTGTCAACACTGCAATATCCCATTTCCTAATCATATGCTATCCTGATACAACCCCCTAGGTTAAGAAGAAACGAGGAGTAGAGTTCTGTGTCTGAGAGCTTTCAGTGAAAAACTGACTCAAGTTGCCTGTGGAAATCCTGTGTTCTTTATGAGATAGAGTGGACAGGGAAGCTATGAGATAGAGCAGACAGAGTACTTTGTGAGCACTGCTCATGACGAATGTTTTGTGCAATGCAGTGTTTCATGTAAAACATGAAAAGCATACAAAAAACATGCAAAGCATACAAAAAACATGCAAAGCATACAAAAAAATGTTACAACTGCACAACAGATGGCCAATCTTTGAGTAATATTAAGGCATGGCCCACAAAAACGCATTGGAAAGTTCTATTTGGTCTTTGCTAAAGGACAATAATTCCTCTCTGGCATTAACTTCTGCAGGCTACAATGATGAAAAATTAACCACCTCTTAAAAAAACAAACAAAACCAAAACAAACAAAAAACTTGAGGCAATTGCTCCTTCACTGTAAGTCCTTTCTATGAAAGGAAAAACTTTCAATCTTTACTCTGTAATGATTTATCATTAAGATGACTATTTTTAAAATAAGCTTTGCCACATTGGAGATATTTCTGTAAGATAGTTCTGTGGGAACTACTAGGATACACCATTTGCATTCACAACACCCTCAAGAACCTGCTATGGAAAAACAAATTATTTTGTTTGTTTTAATTTGGGAAGATTGCTATTTAGAATTCATTTGAGTTCTTCATTGATCATTTTGGAGTAATTTAAAAATAATAGTCAAATATCCTTTCCTATGCATGGAGTTCTTCAGGATAATCCTGAGAAACAGGAAATCAAAATATTATACTGCTATTGTTGGAAGAAGGATCTATGAGAACTGGAGAAAGACCAGCAGCTGACTAGCTGGAATACAAAAGGATTTCAAGCATCAGCTGGAGGAAGGGCTGCTGATGTATGCTGATCCTAGTGCATCACAGTTTAATGATATTGAGAGGATCTGTTGCCTAAAAGGTAATACAATCATAAGATAACAAACACACAACAAAGCTTTTGGGCACATGGTCTCCTCTCTCTCAAGGAGATCACCTGAAGCTGTAAGAAACAACTATCTGCTATTTAGTTCATAAGCTATAGACAAATTAATCATCTTGATTCAAACAGGTTGATTTTTATAAGAACTAGAACCTCACTCAGCAGGCTATATCCAGATATTATCATTTTTAGCATACATTGTAAAGTAACCATAACACTGATCAAACTACATTCAGTCTTCAGTAAGCATCCATTACAAACACTGCATTCCTCTCCAAAGAAAGCTTTAATGCTTGCTATAGGAATACTGAAACAGTTGAAACATGCTATCTACTTGGATCAAAAACACAGTATTAGCTACCAGATGATTACATGGTTTAATACACAGACTCATTACTGTAATCACAAAGGATATGGAAAGTGACAATCTACATATCCTGAACTAGCAGTCTATAAAGTTGGGCAAAAATAAATTTGAAAGTTATCACCCAGAGCTTGCAGTCTTACTAAAAAAATGTATGATTCCATACAATAATATAATTTGAGGGAAAGCATACCATCCCTTCCTGAACAAAATAACGAATCCTGGAGTTAATGACTCTAGTACATAGAAATTAAGTTGTATGCCAATTTTATCATAAGCACTGATAGCATACCATACTGCTGTGTTGAGAATAATGTGGACTTTACAGAAAAACAATACTATTTTCAGTTATACTTTTTATTACAGAAGCAAAGATTTGTTTAGCTCTGTTTGTTTTAGAAGTGTTGTTTCATATAATTATGGATTTATAAAGCTAGTTTACACAAAAAAAAAAAAAAATATTTAAGGCAGCTACAACCCTGCCCCTGAAGTCCAGTGATAATTCAGTGGGTATGAGAAGGAGACTAGTGAACTTCCTATGGGCGTCCTAGGTTTGGGAAAGACCTTCATCCTGTACCACAAGCTCAGTGACAAGTAAAAGCTGCTAGTACTCCTAGAGGGCCATCACCACAAAGCATAGCCTGTAACTGCAGAAAACAATTTTTTTTCTTTGAGTTCCTGGAAAAACTCCAGGATTTAAGCTAATATGATTTTAGGTCCAAGCATTTATTGTTCTTATAATCAGAAATGCATTAAAGTTGACCCAATGTAGAATTGCTTTTTGTTGGTTTAACCTAAACAAGTCTGGCCCCTAAAAAACTGATTTTAAATTTAGAACATATGACAGCTCTGATAACAGAGTAGATCTGCTATAAAGGCAAGGGTTGGGTTATTTTGGTTTTGTTTGAAGATAAGCACTGTTTAAACAAATTGACCTCATTTGGCCTTTCAGTTAGCATTAAAGAACAGAGTTGTTTCATTCTCAAAGAGAGTCTCAGCCATTAGTTGTAAGATAACCTCTGTCTCTTCAATAATTAAGCACTATCAAGAAAAGACCAATAGAAACAAAGACATTACTTGTTCCTCAGAGACCAGAGATAGCCATATTACAGCAGTTAACAACTTCATGCAGCCACACTTCCTGTAGCCAAATAACTTCCACAACAATTCAGTACACTGATTTTCCTCAATTTAGGGAAATCCCAAAAGAATTACCAATTTAGATTTCCAGCAAATACAGAAAAACTGTAGGATTTCTACTGATGCAGATTTTTGTCTTTAAGCTCTCCATCAAAATGTACATTCTCTGGGATCCCACTTCCCTTCCCGAAAATGAAGGGGACTGGAAAAGAAACAAGGAGTAATTTTATCCCCAAGAGCAACTACATTATAGAAGCAAGGGCATCATCTACATGCTGATAAGGACTGCAGAATACTTGTATTTCCTTGAAATAGCTATCTGAATAAAACCACATTATTTCTCACATAAACCAAAATACCTTCTATTCCAGATACAAACTCCCAGCTTGCCACAAAACTACCAGAAACGTTTGATCAAATGTCTTTCTTTGGAACAGAAGATTATTGAAATAATTGGCTACAATGTTCAGTGACTATACATCACTTTCTATATACACCTCAAAAGAGTGGGCCTTGATAATTTTGCGCAAATTTCAACTAAACATATGCAAACACTTAGAAGTCTTTCTAGTTACTATGCATTTGTTGTGACAGTTTTAAACAATACAGATCCTAAAATATTCTTTGATCAAAAGTACAAGATACTTACTTATTCATACATACTAAGATAGAACAAGTTACTGTTCAATAAATGCATACTTGAAATCAACCTATAAGAGAATGTGAACCTGACAGTCCTCCTCTTTACTGAAAACACACTTCTTTTTTATAAGGGTCAGCTGACACCTTGGATAGTCAAGCAACAGTAATACATGCATTAGTTTTGCTATGAGACCATTCAAGTTGATGCAAAAGTTACCAACAGGCTGAAAATATTGGCCTAGAAAATTCTCTGAAGTTCAGCACTGGAAATACTGTTAGTATCCTATATGCCCCTGTCTCTTCAACCAAAGGGACAAGAGAGTTTGACAAGCTTCTGTGTTCTGTACATTCCACTGTATCAGTTAAAGAAATTATA